TCAATCCCATGCTTGAAAGATATCAAGCCCAGGGACTCGTCTTGGTTGCCTTCCCATGCAACCAATTTTACTTGCAAGAGCCAGCTGAGAACCATGAGCTTATCAATGGACTGACTTATGTCCGCCCAGGAAACGGATGGCAGCCACACCAAGAACTCCACGTGTACGGAAAGATTGATGTCAATGGAGACAACCATCATCCACTTTATGAGTTTGTTAAGGTGAGCGAACTTGTCCCATAAGAGTCTAAATTTTAAACATCTTCTTTTCCAGGAAGCCTGCCCACAAACCGTCGACAAAATCGGAAAGACTGAAGAGCTGATGTACAACCCAGTCCGCACTTCCGACATCACATGGAACTTTGAGAAGTTCTTGATCGACAGAAAGGGACAACCACGATTCCGTTTCCATCCAACCGCCTGGAGCCACGGAGAGGTCGTCACTCCATTCATCGAGCAACTTCTTGCTGAGCCAGCCAACTAATTGAACTTGTTGGGCGGGATTTTTGCATATACTGTGTACTTGTTTGAACTGGTTGAGTTCTATTCAGCCCTTATGTAAAGTATTTGATGAAAATAAAATTTTACGATTAGTTTTGACCTATCTTATTTTTGTATTTCGAAGAAATTCAATGATTTCACATTTTGGTCCCTTACAAGCTACCAGACACCTTCTTGTACCCCTCCTTTTTCGAAAAATGCATTAAATTTCTTCTCGGATACAGAAACGTTATGATGCAACCAAACAAATGACACAATCTTTGCGGTTTCCTTTCGTTTTCTCTTGTCTGAGATAATCATCTAGCATATTCTAGACACAGTGAAGCGAATACAAACATGTAATCCACTAATTGGTCTTCTAGCGATAGGGATAAGTTAGATTGGATCCAATAAAACACAAAGGTATGAGACTTCTATGAAAGATAACATTGGTACACTGTCTGAAACTCGTAATTCGGAAGTAGTGTTTAGTATTAGTTACATACTGCAGTTGCTTAATTATTCGCCCGGTTCATATGCCAGATATCAAAAATTAGTCAACTGATAAAATTTTTGTGATACTATGATGAACAATTAATTGGTTAATCACTTATTCATATCTTTCACAAGCAGCAAGATAAATAGGCTCAAAGTTAAAAGGTAGGCCCATCTTCTTTTTTACAGTTATGTTTTCGGCTTCTCTATACTTTAACTCTGATTGCAATTATCTAATTTTCAGTAAAAGATATCAAAAATGTTTCAACTGATAAAGTGTTTGCAATTATATGATAAGCAATTCATCCATTGAAAACTTTTACATATCTTTGACAGGAACCCGGATAAATTGGCGCAAATATAAAAAAACCAGGGACTTTTTTATATAAGGTTTACGGTACATTAACTCACCTCAAAAAATTTTCACAATTTTTTTCATTTTGTTAAAATTTTCTTGCATAAAACACTCCAATCCGATGAACATCTTCCCAAGCTACTATAAAGAACATAAAAAGCGCTCCAAGAGCACAATGATATCCAATTTCAAGTCTACCCCCACTTTGCATAATTCATTAGGAATAGCCTTGCAGCTGACCATGAGGTACTCGCTTCATATGTATCTTTCTCTGATTTTTTGCTCACTTTATTAGTTTTTTTTTATATTTTATTCCCGTTTTATCACCCCACCTTCCCACCCGTCTAAAAATGCCAGAGAGAATCACAATTGCCGGATGGAAACATGTAAGGACTTTCTTTTTAAAAGAAATTTGAAAAATTCATTTCTAATTATTGTTTTAAGGTCCGTATGTATCTGCCAAAACCTCAAAAACAATGCGATTGCCATATCGGTGATCCACCTCCGTGGACTGGAGAAGTTCACGGGCTCAGTCAAGCTCTGATGAGCAAGACACTCCGAATGCGAATATTTTGGTGGATCGTCATTATTATATGTATTAGTCTTGGTGCATTTACAACTCTTCTTATTATAATCGAGTATATTCAAGGACCCACTGCCACTTCAACCACGATCAGACTGGTTTGGACATTTGATCTGAAATTAGGCCACTTTTTTTAATTTCAGGTGAACTCACTGGAGTTCCCAGCCATTACAATATGTCCAAAAGTTCCGGATTCTTTTAACATATCTGGAATACGAGGTGATATTAAAGAGAGCCTACCGGATATCTCCGATGAAACAGCTGACGATCTATTAGAGTATTTCGTTGCTGGAAGTGGTTTGGAGAACATGAATGACGTCACATATTTCAATCGAACCTACTTGAGTCAACTGAACAACTATTACAAGATTTGGTCGGAAGGATATACGGTAGACGGGTTTTTTGAAATTATTCAGGTAGCTTAACACCTACCTCTAATGCTGAGAACATTATTTCAGCAAAAATACGGTTACAAATGTCAGGACTTGTTCTATGAATGTCAGTTAGCTGGTAAAGTTTTAGATTGCTGCAATGATTTGATGGTTCGACGGGTTGTGATGCGTCGAGGGATTTGCTATCAAACAAGGAGAGATGTTAACCAGGTTTTTTAACGATTCACAACTAATTTTAGGTTAAGCTTTCAGTCCGAAGCTGATGACATCGGGAGGATTGTCTTCAGCTTAAAAGCACCTTCCAGTTATACCAGTGCCAAAAACAACTACACACAGACACAATTGATTGTGTACATAACTGATAATCACGATGTGGTCACGGAATTTCCAAGATTTTATTTGTACCCAAATGAATGGAATCGAATGAGGTTCACTGCTAGATTGATAGAGTTGATTCAGAATAAAGGAGTTTGTACAAATCATGTAAGTTGGAATAATTATCAAAAATGTGAAAAAAAAATCATAAATGCACTTTGACATTTTCAACATTTCTCATAGATAAATGAGTTCAAAGTTGATGGTTTGGGTGAAAAAACGGTTACAAAATTTTTTAATTGCACTGAGCTCAAATATCTTGATTTCTGTATGAGATATTAAAATTTTGTCGACTGATAAGATGTTTATCATAATATCATTAATATTTTATCAGTTGTCAACAATTTAATATTTTCCACAGGAATCGAGATAATTGAGCCCAAAATGCACGTATATGTATATATATATATATGGTGTTTTATCAGTTGACTACTTTTTGGTATCTTTCATAGGAACAAAGATAATGAGATCAACGTGAACGTGTAGGGCCAGCTTCTATCAGAGCAAATACGGTTTTTAGTACTTAAATATAAATGTTATAGCCTTTTTTCAAAATTTTAAAATTCCTTCAAAATTCAAAAATAATCCCTATAAAACCACGAAAAATTCCAGATCTTCGGTCGCGACGCCGAGTGCATGGTTCGCAAGTGGTATCTGTCAAATATCATCATTCCATTCAACTGCACACTACCCTATCTCAAGAGCATAACAAAACTGCCACCGACGGGCGGTGTTTGCAAGCCAGATGTTATTGCCGATAATTATTTGGACAAAATACAATATGTGTGGAACAGCGCTGAAGTCAACGAGGAGGTCTGTGTTTTCTTTTGTGGTTTTTTTTTCTTCTTCTTTTTCTTCTTGCCTAGCTCTCACTTTACTAACAACTATTTCATTTTTTCTATTCTATTTTTCTTTTATTTTCCAATTTAATTTTCTAGCCCATTCATATTATAGCTATGTGTAATTGAGCGAGTTCTCTCTTTCTCTTTTATATTCAATAATTCATATGATTCACCCTTTTTTTCTCTTCTTCTGACACCAAAATTTTTTGGTCCCTCTAGAAAATAGCATGCTTGTTTCATAACAGATCTGAAAAATGGCTCATGTCTCCCCTAAATGTCTAGATGAAAAATATGCCATGACTTCTTCGCATCATTCATCACCGCCAACAAAAAAAAGAGAAGAAAACCTTCTTCTCCTATTTTTTTTCAGTTCATTGGTGCGCGTCTCGAGCCGCCTGTCAGTCCTTTTTCTTGTCAAAATTATGGATGATGCTTACTTCTGCCCCCTGACTTCTCCATCTTTTTTCTCATAACCACAGTGTCACCTCATCACTCTTCTTTTCCTTTTCAGTGCACTCCCGGCTGCAACCGTTGGGATTATCAGACGAGCGTTCAGCAAAGTCAGACGCTATCTCCTTTCGAAGACTACACCTTCAATTTGGAGGCATCGTTCAACGACTTGCAGGTATTGAGCCCTTTTAACTAATTTTCTTCCTAAAAATTGTGGAAATGTTTAGTACGAGTACGTCAAGGAAGTCTACACAACGTCGATTCCTGGGTTTATGTCCCAGATTGGAGGTTAGTTGTAGATCTAAAGTCGGCTAAAAATAAAGGTTTCAGGCCAATTTGGTTTCTTCCTCGGTCTCTCTATAATCACACTCATTCAAATGGTTCTTTACGGATTCCACGGAGCATTCATGTTTGCTAAGAAGCATATTCAGAGGAAGTTCCCATTTTGCAAAATACATCCATCGGACGATTGTAAGTGAATAGAAAATACATACTGTAATGGACCAAAATAATGGTACATTTCCATTTTTTAAGTGAAAAACACAATATTTTTTCTAATGGAAGTCCACCCTATACGTGAATTTGAAACTGAAAAATCTCAGTTACGATGAAAGATATCAAAATTTTATCAATGGTTCAAAGTGCACGTATAGGCGAAGGAGGGAGGCTTCTATTAGAGGAAATATTGTAAACTTCTGAAAGCAATTCCAGAATTTTTCGACTTTTCTGAAAATTTCAGAGTCAACTGAACAGATTAAGACGTTCATTTTTGAACGGTATAAGTTTTGTAGAAACCCAAATTTGATATTTTTGAAAGTGGCACAACCACAACTGCATCTTAAGCATTTTTTTCTCGGGGTTTTCAGCGATGATCCTCGGACCAGCAGGATCCTACCGACAAGCCAAAAATCAATATTTTCAGATTGAAGGGGTTTTATGACTTATCTATTGACTCCAACAGAAGCTAAAAGTGCACAGTGAGCTTGATTTTCTCCGTTCCTCTGAGAGATATGAAAAAACAATCTCAACTGAGAAATATTGGTGATCCACGGACCAGAAGGATTTTGTTGTAAAGCTAAAACTCATAATATTCGAATTAAATGAGACTTCTTGACATAACCATTTCTCAAATGAGCTGATTTTGTGAATATGTAGAATATAAATAGAATATAGATAAAGTTTCTTCCCCGAAGTAATTTTTAGGACTTTACAACTTCTTCATACTCCTCATGACCATTTCCTTCAGACCCCCGCTCCACGATGACATTTGACCATCACTCCAACAACATCTATCCGCCAGAAAAATCAATCTCCAAGGAGCACATTGCAACTCTGAGCCGTCGAGTGATCGCAACCACTCCTCCAAGTCCAGTTTCCACGATTATTGACTCTGTTGATCTGCCACCACACTGGGGACTCCGTAACATTGACCGTTCACGTGAAAATCCACTTTTTGATGAGAACGCCAAGTAATCCCAAAAAACGCTTCTTTTTCTCTCTCATTTTTTTGTTGCCGCCTCCGCGTAGTCTAGTAATCCGGTGCCTAGAACAAAATTTTTTCTGTATACCATACCATAACAAAGCCGCTTTTGTTTCATAAACGCAAGATCACCAATGTTGGATTTGCTTCATTCCGCTTATAATATGTTTATCTATCTTACTTTCATGAAATTCTCAAAATAAATAAATGATTTCTCAATTTCCTGAACTTTCCCCCCCCCCCCCCATCAGGCAATAAACAATAAACAAAATTTTGTCAGGAAATTGAATATTCCTCATGGAGCAAGACCACCCGGCACATCATAACACTATATAGTCCCCGCCTTCTCTTCTCAGAAAACAGATTTATCGCAAGAGAAGATCTTCACTTTGGTCAACACGGTGCTTGTACACGCATTTATCCGTGTCCATATGGTTTTCGCTTGTGTGTCTCAAGTGAGGGACAAAAGACGCCTTTTGACCGTGTGCATTCACTTTATTAGCGCAAAACCACTCGAACCACCACGTTCTTAAGTAGTTCGTACTCGTTCCGGATGACGAGTGTTATAAAATGTGATTTTGTTTGAAAGTTTTGCATGAAGTTTCGAATTTTGTTGTTTCGAGCCATTTTTGTTTATAGAAAATTCTGGTTTAACAGTCGAAACTCTTCAATCTTGAAGTATTCACAGCTGAAAAGCATATTATTAATTTTGAGACAATTTTCCTTGGTTCTTTTCAAAGATACGAAAAAGTTGTCAACTGATAAATTGTTTATCATCATATCAGAAATGTTTTATCAATTAACCACTTCTCGATATCTTTTATAGAAAATAAGATAATTTATCTTAAAGTGGACAGGTCTGGTGATTTTCTACACCAAATTTTTTAACACCAAATACGCTATGATGTTTTCCCATTTTTCAAAAGAAAAGAATCAACTTTGGAGTTCTTAAAAAATAGTTCAGAATTTTTCAATCTGTCTGAACATTTCAGAGTGTATTAAACACAATCAGAGCTTCAATTTAGTAATTTGCAACATTTTTGTATAACCACAACATAGCATGATAAACGATTTTAAAGCAGTGAAACTTTTTAATGCTAGTTTTGGCATTTTCTGAACTCTTTCAGTTATAAACGGCATATCTTTTCAGAATGGAATATGTCAGAAAACTTGTCAACTACAAAATTGAATTTCTATTTTTGTTAAGTCTAGTCTTGAATTTTCAGAGCAATTGAAGAATGCTCAAATACTTTTACAGGACTTCAAAACTGACTTTTGCCTCAAAAATCACGGTACTATTTACTTTTTGTTGGGTACTGTAAGTCGCCTGAAAAAGAAGTTCAGAATTTTTTGATTTGTCTAAGAATTTCAGAAAAACTATAATTTTGTAGTTGACAACTTTTTTGTACGACAACAATAAAGCGAGATAAACGGTTTTTAAGTAGCGCAACTCAGGCCTGTGCGGCAACAAAATTTTTTTGGCAATTCGGCAACTCGGCAATTTGCCAAATACTTTTCGGCAACGTTCGGCAACTCGGCAATAGCCGAAAAAAAGTTTCGGCTGTTTCGCCAATTTTCAGCAATTTTCGGCAACAAAAGTTTCGCGTCTTTTTTAGTAAAATCAATACGTAACTCACCTGAAAATACTTCTATCAGGCTCAGAACTACAGAAAATGTGTTTCATAAGTTCCTTAAAAAAGTAATTACAAAAATTGGCAACTCAAGACCACATTTTTTATGCAAACTATTTCTTTTTAGCAATAGAGGGTATTCCAATAGTTGAAAATATTTGTTCCGATTGTGAGTTTTGAAAATAGTGCGCTCAACTTGTTAGGCATCTCACGACACACGTTCCCTAGAGATTTGAGACAGATTGGATAATTTTTTTGATGAGTTGTGACTCATGATATCTATTTTTCTCCTATGCTCACAAATTTAAAGCCCATTTTTAGATCCGATGCAAATATTTTTGATGATTATTGGGACACATTTCCTCTAAAATTCATTCTGAGGGATGATGGTGTTCAAAATTTGATTTTTCGAACTTCGAAATCATTTTTTTGACTAAAAAATTGTGAAAATCTCTATGTTCAAAAAAGTTTCAGTTGCCGAAATTGCCGATTTCGGCAACGGCAAATCGGCAACAAAAATTCGGCAATTTCGGCAATTTCGGCAATCGGCAATTTGTTGCCGCACAGGCCAGGCGCAACTCTCCATTTAATGCCTGGCGTTTTGTTTAAATTGAAAAATTATCGACTACTTTTTAGGACTTCAAATTTGACTATTTTCCACGAAAAAAAAATCATACATTTTGTAATTGACCTTTTTTTCGCCAAACCCATTCTGATGACATATGCCGTTTACAACTGAAAAATGTCAAAATCGGCACCAAAAAAAAAGTTGCGCCACTTTAAAGTCGTTTACTTCGCTTGTATTCGTTTGAAAAAGTTGTCAACTACAAAATTGAAGCTCTACTTTTGTTCAGTATACTCTGACAATGTTCGAATAATTGAAAAATTATCGACTAAATTTTTGGAACTTCAAAACTGGCTATTTCCCACTGAAAAAGTCTTAATATAATTGTCATGGTACAGTAACCCTTTGCCTCTATGAAAAAGAATAGAATTTTGCACCCGAATGATGTCTTGAACTTTTGATTGTTTGCCGTGAGCCACAAATACGAAAGCCTAAGCTTCTTGTTACTTGAAACCTATCTTCAACTGAATTGGTAATCTTGATTTTAGAAAAAAAAAGTTCCAAGAGCTCAATCTATCTTCCTCTCATCAAGAACCGAGAAACCGCCGTGTGGCAATCCAATAAAAAGTGAATTCCAAAAAAATTGCCTAATGTGTTGGGGACGGCTCTCGAGCAAACAGTTGCTCCACACATCCCTCTTGTTATATCCTTCCCATCCTTCCTCTCATTGCTGCTCTTTTCGTTCTTGCCGCCCGCGCCGGCTCTCTTGCTCTTTTCTCTCTTATTCATCCTGCTTCTTCCCGGGAATGGGATTTTTCCCGTTGATAAATCACAATCATTTTATTGATTGGCTCCTGTTCTGTTTTCTAGATTCTCGGGCTTCTCAGAAAGTTGTAACTATATACTCATTCCTCTTAGCTGTAAACAATCATTATTTCCTTGAGAAACTTTTCCGTTAAAATAAATATTCTTGATTTGATATGACGCGGATGGTGTGGAAGACAGAAACGATGACAAAGTGATACATTTGGGCTTGATTAGTCGCGCTTCTTCTTCCTCCTCTTCCCAACAACATTTGTTTCATTCCATCGTTTCATATCGTTTGTATTTCATTTGATTGGATGCGAAACAAAAAAATGTGTGTGGTCTATTTTTTTCTCCATGATCAACCGCCTCCTACCACTAAACCTGTCTCCAATAAGCGGGAAAAACAAGTGAAAAGAGGTCGCATCTATTTTTTTTTCTCCCGCAATTTTTTTTCTTCAATGTTGACTTTTTGCATGAATCTTAGGATTGTTGGGGATGCATCAGGCAGGAAGCACATTTGTTGCAAAACTTCGTTTCAAAATTTTTCCCAAAATTTCGAATAATCTGGCAATAGTTTCGTTGGAGGTTTTGGCGTTTGCCCAGTTGTTAATCTGTTCTGAGGCCAATTGCCTACAATTGTTTGTAAGTAGTCTTAACCGGAGAACAAGAGAAGAGAATATACTTTTGAATTCTTTTACAAGAGTGATGTTTTACAGTTTTGTAGCAAAACCAGTGATTCCTGGTCTCTTTTCAATAAGTGTTAGCTTTGATTATCGATTTTGAAAACTCCAAAAACCAAAAAAAAATCCAAATTTTCTGAAAATTTGGCTTTATTCTTTACAGTAAAAATGCAAACGATCACAGTCACAATCACTTAGGATATCCTCAAAGCAAAAATAGGTAGCTATCTGAAATTCTAATTCCTCTTCTCTCTGATCTACAGTACCGGTTAGTCAGTTTTACAAAAACTCATTTTTCAGTTGGTTTTCGGTCTTTTTGACCATTTGCAGAAGTCTGGAGCTCGGCTGTCAAGTGTCCGATCGCTCTGAAAACTTTGAAATGTGTGTAAAAGAAGCTTACACCACAAACTTTGAAAACATTCACATATTTTTTTGAAAATTCCCAGCTTTTCAGTAATTTTTCGTTTTTTGAAAGACACCGGTTTTTTCACATATTCATTTAAAAAAATTGGGCAAAAAAATGTCTCTCAGAAATTGGCAAATAACTGAGAAATTAAGAATTTTTAAAAATTCCGTGAATGCAAAGTTTTTGATCTAGTTGGTTTGTTTTACACTTTCGGAAATTCCAAAAAAAATGATGGGATACTTGACAGCCAAGCTCCAGGATTTGGAAATCGGTCAAATAACCGAAAATCATCCAGAACATTTGTTTTCGTGTATATTACTGTAAGTTTGGAAATTTCCAAATTTCGAACAACATAAAAACCCAAAAACCAAACATCAAGTTTTTTTCCTGACCCATAATAATGCCATTAAGACAACTTTTATTATAAAATCCCCTCTTATTTTTCTATCTTTCTCGTAAAGTTTTAACTATTATCACTCTTGCAAAAAAGAAGATAAAAACGAAAAGATAGCAGTAGTGAACCCGAATCCTCATGCCAACTCATGAAGAATATGTTTCTCTATCTTGTAATAAAAGAAACAGACAAAACTTGGTGTCGAAAAACTGGTGAAATAATCCAGCTTCCTCTCTTATCACATTTTTATGAAGCGGGTCTCTCTTTTCTCTCTTGTGTGTATTTGTGTGTCATTTCGGATATCGGTATCTCCTGAAATCCCAAATGATGGAAAATTCGGAGGATCAGAGAGGTAGAGAAAGAAGTTATATGGAAGAGAAACAGATATCGTAAAATATAGTCTTCTTGTCAACATTTTACGACAGTTTCCAATTGGCGTGCCCAATTTTGGTATTTTATGGCTTCGGCACGCACATCTCGAAACTTTTATTCCTTTCGCACCGATAGAGA